CCCCAAAACCCCAAAACCCCAAAACCCCAAAACCCCATGCTGATGCAAATTTAAATATAAAGAAATAGCAAATTTATTAATATTTAAAAATGATTGAACACAAACGTCGTGAGAATGAAAACTTGAACTAACTCAAAAATTAAATGAAGGATATGTCTTAGGACTTCATAGATATGAAGGAAGCCAGAGAGGAATCTAAAAGAAGGCTTGAACAGAGATTCTAAAATGCTTACAAGTAAGTACAAACTCTATCAATAAAAAAATGAATAAATTGATGACTAATGAGTTTTCATTTTCCTTCTGATTCGGTTATCAAGTAATAATCATCTTGCTTTTCTATAGTTCAATTGATGAGAACAAGCAATTTACAATCTCTTAGATGGAAATGGTTCATGAAACATTGAATAACTTTCAGACAAGTTTCTTGAATGAGCTAGATGAGCTAGGTAGAAATCTCAAGAACTAAATCAATGAGGAAGGAGCGTTTGTGAGAGCTTAATGGTCTGCTAATCATTCAAGAATGTAACTTAAAGCTAATTACGCTATTGTAATAGGGATATGCTAGAAAATATGATTAACAAGGAGAGAGAGGATAGAATCAGATATCATGATGATAATCTTAACCCTATCAGAGCTTAAGTTAAGAGCATCTAGGATGGTTTAGTGAAGGAGAAGAAGACTCGTATAACTAATGAAAAAGCTATACTCAAATAAATAGGTATATTTGCAAATTTTGTATTAAAAAAATAATAGCAAACGAATCAACTAATATGCAGAATGATATCTAAGACGAATCTATTAACAGATAGGAAAAGATGCAAGACTTGGATGACTTCTTGACTTAGGATACTGACTTGACGACCAAGTTCCTAGAGACCTTTGAAAAGAATGCTACGGGTGAAGCAGACAAATTCATGGACGACCTTGAGAGGGAAATGAATAGCAGATTTGATCATCAAAATCACATGCTTGATAACATGAGCAAGTTTGTTGGCAAATTCCAAGAGACTCTTAAGATTTTTGGAAAAGATGTTTGATAGGATACTGTAATTACCTAGAGATACAAATTTATATAGATATTAACTTAATTAAAATATTCATATTGCAGATCCAATTCATTATATAGACTTTCGGGGTTTTGGGGTTTTGGGGTTTTGGGGTTTTGGGGTTTTGGGGTTTTG